TGCATCAAGAACCTTGGAGACCCTCATGCATCAAGAATCCTGGAGACCCTCATGCATCAAGGATCTTGGAGACCCTCATGCATCATGAATCTTGGAGACCCTCATGCATCAAGGATCTTGGAGACCCTCATGCATCATGAATCTTGGAGACCCTCATGCATCAAGGATCTTGGAGACCCTCATGCATCATGAATCTTGGAGACCCTCATGCATCAAGGATCTTGGAGACCCTCATGCATCATGAATCTTGGAGACCCTCATGCATCAAGGATCTTGGAGACCCTCATGCATCCAAAGTCTTGGAGATGCCTGTGCATCCGAAGTCTTGGAGACTCCCATACACCAAGAGTCTTGAAGACCCTTGTACATCAAAAGTCTTGGAGGTTCTCATGCAGCAAAAACCTTGGAGACTCCTGTGCATCAGAAGTCTTGGAGACCCTCATGCATCAAGAATCCTGGAGACCCTCATGCATCAAGGATCTTGAAGACCCTCATACAACAAGAATCCTGGAGACCCTCATGCATCCAAACTCTTGGAGATGCCTGTGCATCCGAAGTCTTGGAGACTCCCATACACCAAGAGTCTTGCAGACCCTTGTGCAAAGAAAGTCTTGGAGGCCTCCATGCATTTAAAGTTTTGGAAAGCCCCGTGCATCAAGGGTCTTGGAGACCCTCATGCCTCAAGAACCTTGGAGACCCTCATGCATCAAGAATCCTGGAGACCCTCATGCATCAAGGATCTTGGAGACCCTCATGCATCACTTGTCTTGGAGGACTCCATGCAACAGAAGTCTTGGAGGTTCCTGTGCATCAAGGGTCCTGGAGACCCCTGTGCATCAAGCATATCAGAGACCTCCACGTATCAAGCACCTTGGAGACCCACCCTGTGCATCAAGCATTTTGGAGACATTGTCCCATCCAGCAGTGCCAGAGTAAGCACTGCCACACCAGAAAGGGATCAAATCTCCCCAGGGCTGAGCAGGACTCCAAGCTAAGGATGGTCCTAGGAGCTCTTGGGAGGAGCCACTGGGAAACTAACAGGGTTGGGGGACTTGGGGAGGGTGAGGAATGGGACTGCTGGGGCCGAGTTGGGGCTTTGCTTGGCATGGGGAAGTGGGCATGCTCACCATGTTGAGGAGCTCCTGGAGCAGGCGTTGGGTGGGCTGGCCCTGGCTCCTCAAGACCTCGTAGAGGTGGGCGTAGCCGATGCGCTCCTTGAACACCTCCTGCAAGCAGCCAGGCACGTGGGACCCTGCACCGGGTCCTACCAGCCCACCTCTCAGGGTGAAAGCCCCCAAACTCAGGCATTTTTTGGGGTGTCTCCCCCCCACCCTGGTCCACCCCAAACCTTGGCTGAGGGCGAGTTGCTCATGATGGCAGTGAGCACCCCGACGGCGTGGACCGCGATGGCGTCGGAGCTGCCGTCAGAGACCTGTGGAGACATGGGGGTGGTGGGTCTGCTGAGCCGTGGGGTTGGGGGCACACAACCCACCACACCTGGTGGTTTGGTTATCAGGTGGCCCCACACGATACCTGCTGGAGCTTGTTCCCATCTGGTGGTCTCGTGGGGATCTCATCCCGGGCTTCACCTGCCTCCCGTGAGTTGCTGAGGTAGAGCTGTGGGACACGGGGTGGGAGAAGCACCCAGCGTGGGGTTGGGGGGAAGAGGGAAGGTGGTTATGGAGCGTCCCCACTCCTGGGATGCGGTTGTGGCATCGTTGCCCCACTGTTTAGAGCCAGGAAGGGCAAGGATGAAGATGAGGGTGGGGACACCAAGGTGGCCACCCCAGTACCTTGCTGTTCTGGAGGAGGCGGATGATGTGCTCGAAGCAGTTGTTGCTGAGAAAGACAGCTTGGAGGACTGGCCGGTCCTCACAGCTCAGCATGGCCGGGATGGCATCTAGGGCGAGGTGGAGAAGGCTCAGCCCTCATCCCACCACCCCATCCCCATCCCCACACCCCCCCCACCAAACCCACCTACCCAGCATGAGGACACGGAGCGCCCCCCGGCCGCCTCCGGCGCCAAGGAAGCGGCGGGCAGGTCCGAGTTGAGCACCCTGAAATAACCATCCAGGAGGACACGCAAGGGCACGGGGCCGGCGCCGGGGCTGCCCCCGTGGAGCACGTGGACCACGGCCACCACCAGGTGTAGGACCAGCTCCAGCATCCCTGGGAGAGGGGGGGTCTCCCCACCCCCCCGGCGCAGCACCCCCAGCAGCACCTCCACGGCTTGGGGGGTGATCGCCCGCAGCGCGTTGGGCTGTGGGGAGGATGATGGGGTGGGGGTGAGATGGGCTTTGGTATCACAGAATCACAGAACCACAGGGGTCAGAAGGGACCTCTGGAGGTGGAGTCCAAGCCCCCTGCTGCAGCAGGAACACCCAGAAACACATCCAGGCAAGTCTGGAAGGTCTCCAGAGAAGGAGACTCCACCAGCTCTCTGGGCAGCCTGTCCCAGGGCTCCGTCACCCTCACGGTGAAGAAGTTCTTCCTCACCTTGAGGTGGAGCTTCCTGAGCTCCAGTTTGCACCTATTGCCCCTCGTCCCCCCACAGGGCACCACTGAACAGAGATTGTCCCCTCCCTCTCAACACCCCCCCCCTCAGATATCTGTAGACACCCATCAGGTCCCCTCTCCCAATCTTCTCTTCTCCAGACTCAAGCTGCTAAGCCCAAGCCCCGTGGGTTTTGCCACCCCCTGCTCCTGGGGGCGTGCAAATTAATTGAAAGCACATTTCAGAGCTATTAATTACAGCTGGATTTTTAAGCCTTGGATTCATTAAAACCTATTTCTGCTCCAATTCAGGCAGCCAAGAGGGTCTCACCCACCGCCCGGAGCTGAACCAGGGATGAACCAGCAGCTCCAGCTCAACCCCCTCCTCAATGTCAGGATTTTAGTTTTGTTTAAGGCAAAACCCACTGAATTTAGGGCTGAACATTTACAGATGGAATAATGGAATAATTATATAGAGATATGTTAAAAATATCCTACATATTTAGGGCTGAAATTGAAATATGGACTCATAGAATCATTCCATATATTATCTATGCAATATATATAATATTCTGTATATTTAGGGCTGGATATTTAAAAATAAAATCACAGAATCATTCTGTATCTATTTTATAGATGCTGTTTTATATATTTAGGGCTGGGAATTTTAATATAGAATCACAGAGTAATGCTGTATCTATAAAATACATATAATATTCTGTATATTTAGGGCTGGAAATTTAAATACAGAATCATAGAATCATTCTACATATATTTTATATGTACTATTCTATATATTTAGGGCTGGAAATTTTAATATAGAACCATAGAACCATTCTTTCTATATTATATATTCATATATATGTACTTTTCTATATATTTGAGGCTGAAATTTAAATATAGAATCACAGAATCATTCTATATATTAAATATATAGAATATTCTGTATATTTAGGGCTGGAAATTGAAATATAGAATCACAGAATCATTCTATATATTAAATACATATAATACTCTGTATATTTAGGGTTGGAAATTGAAATATAGAATCATAGAACCATTCTCTATATATTCTATATAGATGTAAATTTATTATTCTGTATATTTGAGGCTGGAATTTAAATACAGAATGACAGAATCATTCTATATATTAAATATATAGAATATTCTGTATATTTAGGGCTGGAAATGTAAATACAGAATCACAGACTCATTCCACAATTCAATTTCCAGCCCCAAACTGGGTGGGTTTTACCTTAAAAAAATGATTAAAGGTTAAATAAGAAGGAAACGTTTTGGGGTTTTTTTTTTGAAAGGGTTTCCAAAAATTCAGTGGTTTAACTCCAGGATTTATCTCTCAGGGAATAAATGAAAACTTCAGGGTTCATCCCTTGGGGTGATGATCCCAAAATCCTCCCTCTTCCCCTGCCCAGCTCTACCTTGGATCCGGAGAGGATGGCCCCAAAGAGGTGGAGAAGTCGGAGCTGGGTGGTCTCAGGGAGCTGCTTCCCAGCTTGGAAACTCTCTGCCAGGATCCAGGAGAGAGGGATTTACTTCAGGGAACAAGCAATCCCAAAAAAAACCCCTTCCCAAAACCCCCCCCCCTCCAAAAAATGGAACAAAAAATGTTCCCTTTTCTACACGAACCCGCCCCAAAATCCGGGCGCTGGATCTGTTGATGGGCAGAGTGAAGATGTTCACTTGGTTTTTAGTTTTGCAGCTTTAGGGGGAGGTGGGGTTTTTTTTTTGGCCTCAAAAAAAGGGCTTTTGGTTCAAAATGAAGGTTCATCCTGGGGATCTGCAGGTGCTGGGGGGAATTTTGGGTGATTTTTCGCAACGTTTTCACCTCAGAGGGTGGTTTTTTGGGGGGTTTCCCCTAAAGAAAATCCCCTCTGGGTTGATTTTTGCAGGGTGCCCAGGGGGTGCAGGATCTCATCCCTGCTTCAGGGTCCTACCCCTGCCCCCGGGACCCCTGTACAGGCACACAGGGGGGCCCAGGGGTAGGGAGAGGATCCCATGATTGCCCTGGAATCACAGAGTGATCCCAAGGCAGGTAGAGGATCCTCTACCTGCCTTGGGATCACTAAATGATTCCAGGGAAAATGTCGGATCCTCTGCCTGCCTTGGGATCACTAAATGATTCCAGGGAAAATGTCGGATCCTCTGCCTGCCTTGGGATCACTAAATGATTCCAGGGAAAATGTCGGATCCTCTGCCTGCCTTGGGATCACTAAATGATTCCAGGGAAAATGTCGGATCCTCTGCCTGCCTTGGGATCACTAAATGATTCCAGGGAAAATGTCGGATCCTCTGCCTGCCTTGGGATCACTAAATGATTCCAGGGAAAATGTCGGATCCTCTGCCTGCCTTGGGATCACTAAATGATTCCAGGGAAAATGTCGGATCCTCTGCCTGCCTTGGGATCACTAAATGATTCCAGGGAAAATGTCGGATCCTCTGCCTGCCTTGGGATCACTAAATGATTCCAGGGAAAATGTCGGATCCTCTGCCTGCCTTGGGATCACTAAATGATTCCAGGGAAAATGTCGGATCCTCTGCCTGCCTTGGGATCACTAAATGATTCCAGGGATAGTAGAGGATCCTCTACTATCCCTGGAATCATTTAGAGATCCCAAGGCAGGTGGAGGATCCTGTATTTCCCTGGAATCACAGAGTGATCCTGGGGCAGGTTGGGATCCTCTATCATCCCTGGAATCTTTTCCCTTTACCTTGGAAGAAGGTGCTGAACTCGGGGGGCAAAGGGGCCGGGGGGAACTTGTATTTACTCTTCTCTTTGGCGCTGACGACTTCTCTGGGAAGAGAGAGGTGAGGTT